ATTTTATTGATTTATTTTTGTAATTTGACACTGTCACTACTCCATACTTTTCTTTTGTTTTCTTTGATTTTTGTTGAGTTAAATTTAGATGCAAACCCAGCTGCCCCTATAACAGATAGTGTTCATCGGTCATGCCCATAGAACCTGGCAGTAACTCTGAATTCTGCCTCTAGGGGGCGACTCCTCTGGTTACAGAAAGAAGTCAGATTGCATAGAAGTTAATGAGAAAACGGCTCCACTTCTGACTGAATTTATTACTTCAGTAAATATTTTTCTAATTAGTTTATAGGTTTCAACTCCCGGTTCTGAATCGACTTCAATACAGCGTGATGTTCAGTTTGTCAGTTACGGTCCCATTTAGAATAAAACAGATGATTCTGGGTGCGGCTACGTTATCATTGACAGACCAAACCACCATGTCTCCTCTGGTTCTCCAGTCAAATCCGAGCATTACTTCTGATTTCAAAAGACCAACAAGGTGATGCACAAATTCCAAACAATAGCCTTCAAAATGGTGGCAGGTGACTTCACAATCACTGAATCCATCTTTTAAATAGCTTGTGGTTTCGCTAAAGATTTGGATCATGCAGTAAGGCAACAATTGTTTTTTGTTTTTTTAATGATCTGTATGCAAATGTTCCACCAAAACACTTCCCCTGTCACTGTTTTGCAGGACCACCGTGGCTACGTTCTTCCATTTGCAATGCCAAAGACTATTTTTATGAGTTTAAAGAAATGCAAACATGTGAGAGGATTGTCTGAGGTGCAGTCAGACCATTCTTGAGCGCTGACACAACACAATGTGGCACTAATATTGCATTAATGTAATGTAATGAAGCTGTGATAAATTTGGATCGCTTTAGTATTTTTCACTGTGTGGCCAAAGTGCAACCTGCTTTCTCACATCTGATTTCCCTTTTAACTGCACTGCTTCCTCTTCTCTTTGTCGTCTCACTTTTCACCTCCTGAAGCAACTGCAGCCCAACACGTCTCGGTACCGGGAGGGGGAGGAATACTGCGTCCTCCGTCGCATCCAGAACGGCTCATACGGTGATGTGTTCTGCGTTCGGGACAACAGCACTGGATTCAGATGTGCTGCCAAGAGGGTAAGCCAAGAAAGAGTGAGTCAGACGTATCCGGACACGCTCCACCCAACGCTTTTGTAGCAGTGATCTGCAGCGCCGGAGCCAAGAAATGTTGATTTAATTAGGATAGTTTTATGTCATTTATCTCTGCTGATCTCAGATCCCCCTGAGTGGTTTCAGTGGCGAGGAGGTGAGCACGTGGAGCGCTCTGAACTCTCCTCGAGTTGTGGAGCTTTTTGGGGCTGTGAGGGAGGGACTGAACGTTGTGCTCTTCATGGACCTGAAACCAGGTAAAGTCACAAACCTGCAGCGTAAAAATAAAAGAGTAGTCTAATAAAGTAACCATACTTCTCCAAACCCCACCAGCTTGCTTGGCTCATCTTCTCAAGGAGATGAACTGCCTGCCTGAGGATTTGGCCCTGCATTACCTTCACCAGACACTGGGGGCGCTGGAACACCTGCACCACAGGAAGGTGCTTCACCTGGACGTCAAAGGTGTGTTATGCTGGATCTGTGTGTTTCTGTTTAGGTGAAGCATCAGGTGAATACATTTTACACAATCTTTTTCCAGCAATGCAGACTGGTCTCTTCCTTAAGGCTCATCTGTAACAATAAATCAAATCTCTAAGCAGAAGGGGAAATCTGCATTCTACCAGCAGGGGGCGACTCCTCTGGTTTCAAACAGAGGTCAGATTGCATAGAAGCTTATAGGAAAATGACCCTACTTCAGATTTTTTTAAAAAGAAAAAAACAGTTAATAATGAAATAACCCAAATAAAAAAAAATATAAAATAGAAGTAGAAAAGATTATTATAATTTTTTTGTGTACATTAAGTAGCTGCTGCATTAAAAATATTCTTACAGCCAAACATTGTAAAAGAATGAATTACATATATAATAAAAATACTTATTTTTGATGTGGATATTACAGTTTTGGCGTTTTTTTGTTTGTTTGTTTTATTGCAAATATGCAGATTTTTAACATCGTTTACAGTTTTGGTCTTTTTTTTTTTTTTTTTTTTTACAGTTAACATGGAAATTAATTATTTTTTCCATGATTTTACAGCTACTATGTTATTTAACACAACAGGAACATTTTTTTATTTACCATTTTTAAAATCTCTAATATACTTTTTTTTTTTCAAATGACAGCAAATATCTGTAAAAGAATGACATATTTGTTAATTTTAATATAGTAAAAAAAATAGAATAATTTTACAGTCAAACATTGTGAAAGAACAAATTACCATTTGCAAAAATATAGATTGTAGATGTAGACATTATTTACATTTTCAGCTTGTTTCTGCTACAATTAGCATGAGAATTAATTCTGGTTTTCTTGGTGATTTTATTAGATATTATCCACAAATCTAATCAATAACGGTTCAAGAAAATATTTACTTATTTTAATCCTTAATATAAATATTTTTTCTTTTGAATTGCTGCAAATACCCGTAAAAGAATAATTTTTTTTTCTGATTTTTAATACAGTGAAAAATAGTGTCATTTTTTTGGTAATGTGAAAGTATGAATTAGCATTTGTTAGATTTCAATAAAATGTATATGTATATTATTTACAGCTTGGGCCTGTTTCTTTTGTTTTGAAAATGTAAATTAAAGCTGATTTTACTAGTTTTTACCCACAGTATTGAAAAAAAAAATTGTTTAAAATGTTGAAGTTAAATACTACAAATTCACCGTCACATTTAACAGCTTGTTTAGTTTGTCATAAGAGCCCACAGTGTCCATGCTTCACCTGCAGATCTGATCTTATCAGCTGCACTTACTGGGAGGGAGGACGCCCAGTAAAGCCTCGAGCTGGTGGTTCTGCTGTCAGCCAGCATCCCGGTGATGGTACCTAATCCTGAACTGACACCTCACCCCTAAACCCTCAGTAATCCTGCTGAGCGGATTGAGCAGGAGGGGGCTCACTCACGTTAGGCCCCTCCATTGTGCCCTGAGCTCATTTCCAGAAAGTTCGCTCAGCCAACATGCATCGAATTAACCGTCTCATCATATCAGATCTTCATGTAGAAGTGGAAAAACACAACGTTCGTGTGCTTTATTTTTGGAGGCGATACCTCGGTGTTCAGGAGTGAAGCAGCAGAGGCTTTAGCCCCCGTGTGTGCTCGTCACTCTGAGAGCCTCTGACAGCCCCCTGTTCCTCAGTCAACTGTTTCATAATGAGCACCAAATGCAAACAAGCTGTCTCACTAAATCCTGTGTGTTGATTTTATTCCAGTTGACAATGTGCTGCTGTCTGCAGACTGCAGAGACACATTCCTCTGTGACTTTGGTCTCTCAGAGACACTAGATGACAGTGGACGAGGCACCACGGCCTTCAGGGGTGAGTGGATTTTGAAAAGCCTGCGATAAACATGACGTGTCTCAAACACTTTGGAGAGAACAGCCCGTTATTTAAATAAAACACAGAAGTATTTAAGTATAGTGTCATTAAAAAAAACAAAAAGTACTATTCATAAAAATCCTCTACTTCCTAACCAGCTTTTATTAAAACACTGTATGTAGATTTTTTTTTCTCATTGTAGCTTTGAGTGGAGGTAGTTGATAAATTCTATTACCATCTTTTTTGGCAAGTACATTATAATAGTGAAGTTTAGGAGAACATTGACAGAAGATGTCTTGGTAGTACATTGAGCGTTGATCTTTAAATTCTCCAAAACATGTTGTACTTTCATAAAGGACTAAACCCTCAGACTGTGATTACATAGAAATACCTTCTGAAATGTCTCCAGAGCATCAGCCTGTTTACTTTAAATTTTTAATGGCACATGACCATAGACTGTATAAAAGATGGACGTAGCAACCGGCCCTGAAAAATGAAGCCAACCTGGAAGTGTCAAAAACCTGCAATATCACTATATCCACTAGCTGCTGGCTCCAAAAAGCCCTGGCTCCCATAGACTTGAATTGGAAAAGAAGTGATCACAGATCACAAAATACCGCATTCCTACAGCTCAGGATTATTTTCATATTAGTTTTCATAGTCAAATCCAGAGATCAGGTGGCCAATCTGAAAAAAAATCAACACTGAATTTTTAAAAAAATGTCAAAATTTTGTGGGTCAAGGGGCGTGGCTGGCTTGATTGACAGTCGGCAGAGACGATGCAGTCGAAGCGAGCAGAAGGCAGTGAATGTGGGCGGGCAGAGAGGACCCGCCTCTCAATCCATCTGACCAATCGCTGCTCCTATGGCTCCGCCCCCCTCCGACGATTTTTGCATCACTGGCTCCAAAAATCCAAGATGTCAACCAGGAAGTAGCAAAACCCTGGCTTCATTTTCTCAGTGCAGAAACCAACGGGTGATGCCACGGTAGCTACGTCCATCTTTTATACAGTCTATGTACATGACTTAGTGCAGCTGACATAGAGAGTCCCAGACTAAGGCTACATCCACGATCATACATTTCAGATTAGTGGAAGTTTTCTCCTTTTATTGTTTATTAATATTAAATCGTGATGAATATAATTTGGCTTTTTTTTGTCCTGAATTTTCAAAGTGAAAGCAGATCTCTAAAATGTAATGTCATTTAGTTAATGTTTTGCCGAGCAGCATCCCCACATCATGATGCTGCCACCGCCATGCTTCACAATGGGAATAGTGTGTTTGTGATGATGTGTGATGATGTGTAGTGTTTTATTTCCACCATACATAGCATCTAGTCAGATGGGCAAAAAGCTCAATTTTGATCTCATCACACTTAAGAAGCTTCCTCTAGTTGACTTCAGAGTCTCTCACTTGCCGTCTGGTGAACTCTAGTTGAGATTTAATATTCATCAGTGACTGGACCTCCCAGTTACAGGTGTCTTTATACTGTAGTCACTTGAGATGCATTCACTGCTCTCAGATCATCTTCATTTCACTAATTGTGTGACTTTTAGCACCGAATGTGTTGCATCTGTGTTGAATTGGGTGAGTAACTTTAACACTTTTGCAATCACATATTTTACGTTTTACAATTTGCATTGACATTACTTTGTAGAAATCTGTTTCCACTTTGACATGAAATAGTTTGTTTTTTTGGTAAATTATTGTAAAAAAAAAAGCCAAATTAAATTAACCATGATTCAGTGTGGAAAGAAAATAAAAGCAGAGAACTCCAAGTGGGGGTGAATACTTTCCATAGACATGGTATGTAAGCTGACTTTCACATGTAAAATCAGTATGGAGTACCCTTTTGAGTTTTATGGAAACAAACAAACTAAATAATTCACTGGTTGAACTCCCAGTGCACAGAGATAAACATAAACAACAAATGCCCCTGTGTGCATTTACTACCAGAGGGCTAAGTTAAGGAATATAAGCGATGACGACGGGAGCATGATCACAGGCAGCAACCAGAGCAGAATGCCACAAACAGTGATTGTAAAAGATGGCGGTTGTCGATGCAGGAGCTGTCTTCCCGGGAACAGAGACCCACATGGCCCCCGAGGTGGCGCGAGGAGATCAACTCTCTGCGAAGGCGGATGTGTGGAGCAGCTGTTGCATGTTACTGCACATGCTCAACGGGTGTCAGCCGTGGATACGCTACTATTCCCATCCGCTGTGCCTCCAAGTAAGAGTCTCCTCTTCCTGTCTCCTCCGAACGGGATAGAACTTCACAGAGACGTTCTCACATTTCTGTTTCATGTGTTTCTCAGATTGTCAACGAGCCTCCACCTCTGTGGGAGGTGCCGTCCAACTGCAACAACTTCACGGCCAAAGTGTTCAGGGCCGGACTGCAGAAGGACCCCGACAGACGAGCATCAGCAAAGGAGCTCCGGAGGAAAACCACCAAGGCCCTCAGAGCAGGTCTATGCAAGTTTAGACAGAGCTTTACAACACAAAGACATACAGATATCAAGCAAAACTGGAGCAGAATGCTGCTATGCTTTGAACAAAAAATACAACTTTTTATGTAAAGCAAAAACGGGCAAATACAGTGAAATTAATACAAAATATAACAAGAATATCAGTATGTATAATAGGTTTAAGGCTCTTGGGTAACATAAAGGTTCATATGGATTTAAGTTTTTAGTGAAGTAGCTTGATGTAATCCTGTCTGCTAGAAGTTTATTTTATGTATGACAACATAAAAACGCAAATGTGTTTACAGGTAATAATATTATTTTAGTAAGGTAACAGGGAAACGTCACTGGAAAACACGTTTGGCACAAATATGAGAATACGAAACATACCAGTAATATATTCTAGCAGACGGGATTCAACTGGCAGTCAGTGTAGACAAGCTTAAGTGATGATAACATGTGATCCCATTTTTGGTTCTGAGAATGCGTAAAACTTTCACTGATACTGTCGTCAAGCATTAAAAAAAAATCTTTGCAATTTTTCCAAAACCGATAGAAAACAAAACTGTACAGGCAACATGAAAACAAAACCTGGGATCAAATTTTACACCAAGATTTTTCATTTAATTCTGCTTGATAAAAATCCTAGTTTGGGTGAAATGAAATGGTGAATGCATTTTTTAAAAAAAAGTATTCCATCATACCTAAGTTTAATAAAGAAAGAAAGAAAAGTAAGCTGTGGCAACAAACGCATGGTCACAGAAGAATGCCACAAACGGTTATAAAGAAGTAAAGCATGTCTTTAGAGAACGTCATTCTATGTTTAGGACAAACATAATGGGAACTAAACACTTATTATGAAAATATTGCTGGAACTTAGTAGAATTTTCTTTGAATGTTTATATAACAATAATTATATGCATTATCATTGTACAGTGAGAAGCAAGAAAGTCTCGTTATTATGCAAAACTTAGTTTGGGGTTCCTCAGGGATCAATCCTGGGTCCTATTTTATTTTCTTGATATGTGCTCCCTCTTGTGGACATTATTCACTGCCATGGTTTATTTCAATAATATGAGGATGACATGCAGTTAAACCATCCTTTAAATTTTGGTATGTCAGTATTGTTACAGAAATTCTAAAACCATTTCCTACGTACCATTATTAGATTTTGTGGGTAATGTCAGCCAATGTTGTGGGAACTTTCCCTGCAACTGTCTATGGAAACACATGAGCCAGCTGAAAACATTTGATCCCAGATATGTCAGCCATGTTGTGTCATTGATATCTGCCTCATTCAAGTGAACATTTCCTCCACAGTTGGAGGTCTCAGCCCTTGGTCCGTCAAAGCCGCCTGTGAGAAGCTGTATCACGGCCAGGTCCAGAATCAAGACGCCTCCTACACCCAGAATAAACCACCAGCTTCACCCACTATGTACTGGGTGAGCCCCTGGAGAACTACAGCGGTGGACGAGGATGACAACGACTGGTCAGATGGTGAATCAGAACAAGACTCTGAGGGAGAAGAAGATTCCTTAGTGAGGGAATGGGACTCCGAGCCGAAATCACTGCGGGACAATTACATCACTGATGAGAAAGACTGGGAGACCGGCTCTGACTCAGAGGTCGATATTTACATGGGAGAGGACGAATATATTCAGGATAAGTGGCTGAAAACTGACAAGGACTATGAGGGCGATTGGGAGGAGGAGGCAGATGAGGAGGAGGAGGAGGAGGAGGAGGAGGAGGAGCTGGACTCTTATGTGTCCACAGAGTATCTCCGTGCTCTCAGAGGCCTCTTTCCTTTGCTGCAAAAAGGACAAAAGAGCAATGACGATTCTTGGGGATCAGAAGCTGAGCTGGAATACCTCCGAGACGGTGAGTTAGAGGCAGCGCTCCACCGATTCATTGACTGGCCCAAAGTCACTTTATTTCATTTGCTGCGACTAAATTTCATCAGGATACTGCATCTAACAAAGTGGCTGTAATGAAGTGTAGCTGATTTGATTTAGTGACAGCTTCCAGAGCCTTGACTTTCTCTCTCTTAAAGTGTTGTGTTTTTTTGTTTACATACATTTGAATACAATATTTGTGACTAGATTACCTTCTTGGGAGGTTTCAGGGTAAAAATTTGTCATTGCAGTTTCATTATTGGTAAAAACAGGAAGCTGACCTAAGCTGAAATGATCAATTCTCTGTGATAGAGAACTAAACCAGACAAACGAGATACCTGAATGTATTTACTTCGCTTCATCGATGATCAATCAGTGAACTGTTGAAGACAATAATGGATAGATGTATCGATAACAAATATGATTGCAGCATGAAATAATACAGCTTTTTTCTAATCCGTTCACTAGATACTGAGATATTTCAGTGCAAAAGTTCAAATGCTGGCCGCTGGTTGTGCTTGATGAAAGGTCAAAGGATGATCGGGGTTCATCTTGTGGGGAACATGAATGTCTGCGCAAATGTTTATGGAAATCAGTCCAGTCGTGGATTGAACAATGGACCACCATGTTTTAATTTTACTCGTTCAGCTTGACTTTTTTGGTGCTCTGTGGTTATTTCTCTGTCCAACACAGAAATTAATCTGTCTGAAGGAGGTTTTTATTAAAAGGGCACCTTGCGAAGATGCTAGAGATGTTTCTGAGCACCTGATGAACCTGGTTATTTATGCTTTTATCGTCAATATATCATTTAATGAAGCGATCAGTGTAATAAAACAGATTTTTTTTTAAAAATGCACTCAAACATGAATAAAACCCCAATGCAGGAAGGACGAGCTCAAGTCAGCGGAAACAGCACAACCATGGCTCCAAGTAGAAAGAACTGAAACTGGTCTTTTTTGCAGTATGACACAGTTATAATAATAGCACAACAGTTTGTACAATTTCTGGCTTTGATAAATGATGGACTTTTTTAAGATAACATACCTTTTAAAGTGGCCAGCTGGTTTTGGGATTCAGAGGGTTTAATCGCAGATCTTGACCAAAGGGCTTTCCAACAGCGAGATAAGATTAACAATCCAAATTTACATGATTAATTCAAAAATTATTGTAGAGATTGTAAAGGATTAATGACAAAACCCCAACGAATCTAACAATTTCCTTTGAGCAAACAGTAATGTGGGAAGAGCAAATTATCTTTTAACCTGAAGAGACCTCCAGCAGAACCGGGCTCGTCTGCCTCGACTGGTTGGGATGAGGTGCTGGCGAGGCCAGTAACGGCAAATTATAAAGCTCTGGACATAAAGATACGTGCAGAGAGATACAGGGAGACAGGTGTTGTATTAACAGATGTTAACATGTTGTCTCTTCCTAGATGTACCTTTAGGCACCACAATCCAGACGCCTTCCCCTGAACCTCGCGATGACCCTCCGTCCTGCTTCAGCTGCTCGGACACATCGCAGATCGATGCCTCAGACAAGGTGTGATGCAGATACAAAGATGTGAATGTGTGCTATATATATATATACATATAAAACTACTCTCAACCGAAATCAAAACCTCACAAAATTTGTGTGCGTTTTTAAGGACTCGGACCATTCATCTGATGACCTCAGCTCTGGCGTCTTCTCGTCCTGCAACAGTCAGACTGACGGACACTTGGAGTGGGTGGCCTCAGCCAATCAGCCGTCCTTGTACTGCTTCGAGGGTAAGATGGCAGGAGTGTAATGTTGTGAAATGTTGGTTGACCGCTGGTTGGCACAGTTTTTTTTTTAATGCTCTGACATTTGCAGGTGTTGACATCTGGATTGAGAACGTTCAGGGCGAGTGTCTGAGGATTCGAGAAAACCGGCGGGTCAAAGTGGGTCATGTCGCTATAGGAATTAGTGATCAGGTATGAAACAGGAGACTGAGGTTGAAATGGTTTGTTTGAATATCTGTGATGGTTTTAGGGTACACTGTAAAAACAAATCCTAGAAAAAAGTAAAAATAAAAAATTCCAGATGTTTAAAAAAAGCAAAAAAAAACAAAAAACGGTGGAATACTGTAACATTTAAAAACTGTAAAAATAAATAAATAAATAAATAAATAAATAAATAAATAAATAAATACATTTTAAAACTAAAAAAAAACTCAATGAAAATAACAGCGACTATTTGTGTAGTAAAGTTATTTGTAAATTAATACTTTTTCTGTGATTTTATTAGATATTATTTGCAATTAAAACAACTAAAATCTGTAAAATAATAGAAAAACAATTATTTACAAAATTTCAATCCTTAACTTATATGTTTTTTCTTTCAAATCATGAGAAATATTTGTAAAATACTATATATTTTTAGCTGGTTTAAATACAGGATAGTAAAATTGCAAATTAACGCTTTTTCTAGGATTGTAATAGATGTAATCTATAATTTAACAAAACACAGAAGCTCTGTAAGATAACAGTAAATAGCTTTTGGTTTTTTTTAACAGTTCAAAAATGTTCCTTTCTTACAGTGTACATTGATAATAAATGATCAATAAAATTACAAAAAAAAACAGAGAAATTTACACAAATATTACAAATTAAATGTAAAATAACATTGAAAACATATAACTGTTAATATCTGTAATATTAGAATTTTTAAAAAGAAAACTTAAATTGTTTGGCATAAAAAACTGTTTTAAACACATTTACAAAATGTATCATATCATCAAATATTTTTCAGATTTCCCCTGTTTTGATCAATTTACGATAACACCTGGTAAAATCACAGACGTTTTTGAACATCTCAGTGTTTCATCATTTTTTAATGGATATTTTCTGTTGTCCTTTTTTAAAATGCACATCAGCTGCTGTTGAGGTTCGCCACTCAGCCAACCAAAATCCTCATAAACTCTCCCATCTGTCACACAGATCTCAGGGAAAGCCTTTACTTTGGAGACTCTGGACAGGAAGCTGGTGTCCTTTGAGCAGGAGATCAGAGAGTCTGGTCTGTGGCTTCGCTGTGTTCCTGCTCCTGACAGATGTCAGCGCTGGAGGTGGAGGGTCAGAGACGGCAAGCTGGAGCTTCGAGAATGACACGGACATTTGATGCTACTTTTTTTCAGTTCTTTGCACTAATTGTTGTTGTTAATATTTGTTGTTAGGGAAAGCTGGAAGGCCCTGCTTCTGGGAGAAAAGACTTCTCTGCGTATTTACACACAGTTCCAAGGCTAAAATTTGAGTCTCGCAGTGAAACAAAGCTGAACAAAGACAAGTAAACGAACACCTGGTGAGCACTTTATTAGAAACACCTAACAGCTTTAGTTCTTTGTGGCAACAAGCTTCCTCTGCAGACTTTGTTAATTATTTCTGCAGATTTTTCAGCTGCACATGTATGCTGCTCATCTCCTGTTGTATCAACTTGGAGCATTATCCTGCTGGAAGAAGCCATAAGAAAACGGTAAACTGCAGCTATGAAGGGATGCGCATAGTATACAACAATACACAAGCTGTGGCATCCAAACTATGGTTAAGAAAACAACCAGCAGCAGTGACAGCAGCAGCAGCGTGGACTGTTGACCTGAGGCAGGTGAATTCATACTGTAGATTCTGACCTACAGCCAGATTCATCCCACCAGGCTGCGTTTTTTTTCATCTTCAACTGTCTAGTTTTGGTGACGCTGAGCCCTCTGCAGCCTTTAGTTTCTGTTCCTGGTTGACAGAAGCGAAACCTGACGTGGTCTTCTGCAGTTATAGTCCGTCTTCCTCAACTTTGGACGGGTAAAAAGTAGTTATTGTCACCTTACAACCAGTTGACCTCTCTCATCAATGAGGTTCTTCCATCCATAGAACTGTTTTTCACCACTCTACAGACTGTTGTGGTAAAATTCTAGCAGATGAGCAGCTTCAGAAACAGTCAAATCAACCATCACGTCACATTTTCACCACATCCTGAAGAGTTTCTGCCTTTATTTAGGCTGTTTGGATAAATGCATGAAAAAGCTGGTGTTCCTAATAAAGTGTTCTTTAAGTGAAGGTGAGAATTAGATGCACAAGAAGTCCATAAACTGTACAGCTCAAACGGTTTCTGTAAATTGTATACAAATTGTGCAGGAGTGTGTAAATGTGCAGAGAGAATGGGAAATGTAATAAGAGACTTTATCAGTTTTTGAGGTAAATTTCAAGTCACTTTTCCATGTAGGCACTGTTAAGGGGCAAAAAAAAAAAAATCCAGTTTTCTGCTTTTTTTTGTTTCCTCTCTGATCTGGAATCCAGAGTTTGTTTGTCATCTGGTGTATTTTAGGGTTTAGAAGAAGCAAAGCTGCTGAATATATTGAGAATTTTCCACGACACAGTTTAAGACTCGAGGAATGAATACTTGAACATTACTTACATTTTGTATCTTAATAAAAAAAAATAAATACCTCAGAGGCGAAGAAGGTGCTGTCTCCTGGTTGATTTCTTCATTTATTGTCTCTTTTATCTAAATTAGAGTAGAATTGGTTCTTATCTGTCCAACACCAGATCTACATACAGCACAGTGTAAACATTTACAGCACTAATAAAGAAACCTATACGTCCATGTGACCACATAAAACACTATTTTGCTGGAGATCATGTTGTTTGAAATGTTTTAAAAGGCTGAGAGTTATGTCTCGGAGGGCAATTGTGGGGTATTTACATAAAGAATAATTAAAATAAATATATTTCTACCACCTTTGTGCCACAGAGTATGTAAATTTATAGCTTAATATTTCCCACCAAAGCTTTTTTCCCAGTAGAATGACGAACGCTATAATAGAATTGACCTAAAATACAGTTTCAAAGTTCATAAAATCATATAAACTCACAATAACAGAGTCAGCGCTTTATTCTTTTAGGACGATATTCGTAAAATTGCTGCTGAGGCTTTGTGGTTCAGTGACAGTCAGCTTATTGTTTGAGGAATGTGAAGCTCCTCCTATAGCAAACAAAACAATGCTTAAACACACAATGAGCTCAGGGCTTGAAACCACCTGCTAACTGTTGCCTACTGGAAACAAGTCTGATAGTAAAGCCAAAGTATCGCGTATTTTAGCCTATGATGTGTGAATATTTATTATTTTTCTTTTCGCTTTTAGGTCGTAAACTTTATTTACAACTCTATTTGAGGGATGAATGACAATGATATTTTATTTGCTAAACAGTCAATCAGTTATAAAGAAACAGGACCTCAGTGTGGAGGAAATGTCGTTATCAATATTTGCTCCTGTGTGAGGCGGGTGGTGGCCTTTGGCAAGCAAATGTCCAAAGAGTGTGGTCTCTCTCTCGTAATTTGCATGTGTAGGGACCCAAGAGTGAAAGAGGTACAAAGACATCAGCTGTCATTTTGCTTTTTTCTACGCTCATTTAGTGTTTCTTACAGTCTTTATGATAATTTCTCAACTGTTTGTAGGTGATTTGTGTCTATGTCTGGTTATTTTATGTCACTTTGTTTTCATTTTTTACCTTTTTTTTTCTTTCAGGAGTTGTGTTTGTGTGTTATGGGTTTTTTTTGTCTGTCACCCTTCAGACATTTTGCATCTTTTTGTGGTAAATTTGAGTCTCCTATCTGTGGTTTTGTGTCTCTTTGTATTTGTCTCTAGTGGCTGATTCCTGTCTCTGTATAGTTGATATCTGTCTCTTGGTGGTCTTTTTGTGTCTCCATGTAGTCATTTTGCACCTTTTATTAGTATTATTGTCATTCTGTGTTTGTTTTGTGTCTGTTTATGGCAAATTTGTGTCTCGGTGGACATTTTGTGTCACTTTGTGGTTGTTTTGTGGCTATTTGTAGCTGTTTTGTGGTTCTTTTTGGCTATTTTCTGTCTCGTTGGGGTCCTTTCTGTCTCTATGTGTGGCTGTGTCGTCTCTCTGTGGATGTTTTGAGTGTCTTCATGACCGATTTCTGTACCTTTATGATTGTTTTGTGTCTCTGTGTTGTTGTTTGGCGTATCTTTGTGGCTGTTTTCTATCTTTGTGGTCATTTCTGTCTCTTTCTGCAGTTTTTATGTCTATTTGTAGTGACTTTTTGTCTCATCTTGGTCATTTAGGCTCTTTGTGTTGTTGTCTCAGCTCTTTTACATCACTGTCTGTCTTTTTTTGGGGCCATTTGTGTTCCTTTTCAGAGCTTTGTGACTTTAACCAACACATATGAAGTGACTTCCTATGGATGCCTTCACTCAGGGGCCTCCTGACCTCTTGGGGCCCCTGGACAGAGCTCTTGGTTAGGCCCATGTAGAATGGTCTGAGCAACTGTACATTTTTGCACATATAATTGAGACATAATGCAGGACGAGCCACAGCAGAGTCACCGTCACACGCCATGGTTACAATAAAAACCGCCCAGCGTCCAGCCGGGCCGTCATGTTGTCCCTCCTCAGAGTGCCTGAAACTTGAATAAACTTGTGTGCGGTTCACTTCCTCGACATTTTGTGCTCTGTGCACACAGGGAGCAGCTAAGGCGCTGATTGGTCCGCAGGACGAAGGGGCGGGTCATCAGTTACACCATACGCGCTGTGATTGGCCCGGCTGTGATAGTGGGAAGTGTCCGTACGCCGGTGTCTCCCTGGTTGCGCAAGACGCCATTTTGGAGTGACAGTGAAATAAAACGGAAAGATCGAGAAGCTGTCTTTGTAAAGGTAATATTCCGCAGAAACTCGCCTCTTTTTCGCTTGCAGTGTCGCATTACGTTTGGTGTGTAGGGCTCGGCACGAACTGCTCGATTTATTCGGCGTTTAACATGACGTCACGGTCTTCTCTCTTTACTGTGACGCGGCATTTAGCTAACCTCGGCTAGCAGGCTACAGCAGTTCCTGTACCGAGCGGATCAAAGAGCTGTCACTGTGGATTTGTCCTCAGAACCGAGCTCCGGTTTCGCCACAACGTGCCAGCGTTAGGTGTGTTGATAATGTGTCGCCGTGTGGTGCGAGTGCTCTCCAAACCGTTTACAAATCGTGTCGCCCGCTGGCAGCGAGCTACGATAAGCTAGTAGGCTAACTAGCTAGCCGAAGCATCCGCCCTTAGTGAGGCGAACAGTAATCTGCTTCGACTGTTGGTAGCCAGCTAAAGCCACAGAAACTTTGACTTTTTGTTAATTGATCGGCAGGACGCTTAACGCGGCGTTTTTACTTCACATTTTTGCTCGTGCGGACGCGAACTTTAACTGGATTGTCGGCCTTTTTGCTAAGGTCGAGGTGTTGTTAGCGAGCTAGCGTCTTGTGACGGCTCACGCACAGTAACATTATCTGTGCCGCTAATGCAGAGTTTGCCAGCTGGAGCAGGCCTTTCTTATCGGCTGATCAGTTAGCTATACACTTTATCCGTACCTGTCTAAGATTATGCTGAACAATGAAACCACCCTTTGAATGAGTCTAATTTTAACGCTTATGTCGTGTTAAAGTAGTCGAATGGTGGTTTTTGTGTACGGTTTGACCTGACTGGTAACTTATAGCCATAAACCATAACCTTAATGTTTAACCAGTAGCTTAAGTAAACAGGCAACTTGTGTGCCTCCACGTTCCATTCATTGTGCCTCTTTCAGTCTCTTGTTCTCTTAGTATACTGCTGTCACCGACCTGTTTTGCTCATTAAGTTGTGCCAGTATCTGTTGTCCAACAATGAGAAGATATTTCCTGCCTTACTAGTCTGTCAATTGTTAGATTTTTTTGTGTTCTTGATGATCCACCTTTTCTGTCTTCTCCTTTCCTCTGCGCTATAACTGAAACACTCTCATAACCCTTTTCCCTTCTCTTCCTTGACAGCTTCGTCACCATGGGGAATGTATTTACAAGCTTATTCAAGGGCCTGTTTGGCAAAAAAGAAATGAGGATTCTAATGGTTGGGCTTGATGCTGCTGGAAAAACAACTATCCTATATAAACTGAAGCTTGGAGAGATAGTCACCACCATTCCCACCATTGGTATGGACGCACATAAGTATTTTCATTGCATTACAGTTGTAGTGTTTCTACCATTTGTCAAGTGTAGGGTTAAATGCTTTGATTTTAGTACAGATATTTTTTTGTACAGAAGCAGATCTTTGCTTTTTGTAATTCCTTACTGTTAAAACTGTTATGCAATTGTTCACAAAATCCTGTTTTCTTAGAGACTTAATAATATATGAGGGGCACTCAGAGAGCACAATCCTCTGCCAATCCCAGTCCCCATCTTGTAATTTTTAAACTGATATCAATCAGCAATGAAATCACATACCTAAATTTCCTCCTTTGTTCATGCCGCACCTCTCCATGAAGTTTTGTGACATTTGAGCATGTTGTTTTAATATAGTCGTGATGACTGACAGACAAACAGCTCTGAAAACATACCTCCACCTTGGTTTTCGCCTTGGCAGAGGAATTTGGCAAAATCCTTAATTGACAAATGTTTCAACACAAGACGTCCCAGGAGATCTTTAAACATTTAAAATGTGTCTGAACTTTTGAATAAAATCAAGAACTGTAAGCTCTGAAAATAAGTAAGATTAGAAATGAGACCAAATTTTTCAAATCATGTTTTAGTACTTGAGAGTTGATACTTAGAGTTGTGCTCAACCCAGCCCTGGTTTGTACTAGTTATCTTAAACGTTTAGACTAAACTAGAACCTAAATTCACTTAAATTCCCTTGAATTTGCAACTGTAGAAATGTTGAACTGTTGAATGTTGAGGTTTGTGTGCAGCAGGTTGACTCTTGAATAGTACAAATGTGTTTCAGTCAGTGACTCATCAATGTTCCTCCTCTTCTCTCCAGGTTTTAATGTTGAAACTGTAGAATACAAGAACATCAGCTTCACAGTGTGGGATGTGGGCGGTCAGGACAAAATCAGGCCGCTGTGGCGCCACTACTTCCAGAACACTCAAGGTGAGGGGGGACTTTATCTTAGCTGGCAGTGGTGTCAGTGAACGCTGCTGCCCATAGGTGGCCTTGTTGCAGCATAAAAGATGATCTTAAAGCAAGTGAACCAATGACTCATACGCCATTGTTCAATTCTCAAAGGGCTTGTTGTGTGACTCCCGTATTTCCTGAAATGTCTCATTAGGATACATAAAGGCACTGTAGACTGATGTTACTTCTACTCATAATGATGCCAGCTGTAGTTAAACTAGCAATTGAACATGTGCTTTGTCATGGTCTCCTATGAGTTATTTGCATAAATGTATTGTGTGTTTAGTCAGTTTGGTAGCCTCACTGCCACCATTGGTCCTGCTGTAGCTGCTCTTGCATATATTTGCTTAGATCTGACAAACCACAACCTCATACTAATCACAAAAGTGTGAAATTGAATGTGTGAAGCCTTGAGGTAATGATATTACACACAGCATGCACGAAATGGCAAAAAAGTATTCCACATGTCTCACTTTGGTGTGTTTCTCAGCACATGCAAAAGTAAAAAAAATAATAGAAAATTTTACATTTTATGTCAAATTTTGCATTTTCTGATTTTTTTTTTAAGCATTTAAAAAAAACAGCTTTTAGCTTCTCAAAAGTGGCCATTGGCTCCTGTTATTTCATCATACAAGAGTAATTTTAAGGCAAATTAATCAAATTGAAGACATCAGTGTGTCTTGAAGAAAATGTATTTCTTGCGTGCTTCAAGTTTTGGTGCCTTTTTGTATTACTGCTATTTTACTGTCAGCAGACGATGTATAATTTAACAGACAGCGAGTCATTGGTGCTGCGTACAGATGCTGGTGCAGCTACACAAACAAGTGCCAGCTCCGTTACAGCTCGAGTTGACCATGTGACCACTTCGTCCACTGTTACAGGGGTACAAAAATATCTTGTTTGTACGTTTGGTGAGCTGCAGGGATGATGAAATGTTTCCTAAACATGCTGCTACATAGATAGGGAAGTGTAAGTAGACTAGAGTGGCAGAGCCCCGAACATCCTCGTATCCGTCTTGCGTTCAGCCAAGAGGAATTCAAGTCTGCCAGGACTGTAATCAGCCCCTTTTTGCCTCACAGTTTGGGATTTTTGTCAAATATCTAAACAGAATAATGCAAGGTAGAAAACTGCAGTCGCTCTGTTCGGTGTTCTCTGATGTCGAAGCAGGTTTCATCCTTCAACGTGCAGCTTTTAAAGCGTCTGCTGTCTCAGAATGCAGCTTTTACATAATTGATGGGAGTCTCAAGATGACCTGACAGCATTAAGTAATAAACCCATCCTCATTAAACGTATAAAATACGACGTCTTAAGCGTTTGTCAGCTTTTTGGTTTGATTAATTTTCACACTCTACCAACCTGCAGCTTCCACTAAACTCATTTAGAGTTTATTTTTGAATTTGCTGTCTTTTACACTTGGACTGAAACTTGACACTCAAGCTATGTTCACAGCTCTTAGAAGTTTACTTTCACATATTCAGTTCATCTGTTTAATCTTCAAATGTTTTAGGGTTATTGATTTAATGCCAAGTTGGAGCCAGAACCGAATTGCACAGAATTAATTATTAATGGGACAGAGTCACAGCTTTTTGATGTGGGAGAGAAGAAAACGCTTTGAACCCAGAAGATAAATGATTACAACGCTGCATTTCCGCGTTGTGACGAATTTATTAAAGCGTTTTCATTGGTCATAAACTTGCGCCGTGTTTTCTGTATGCAGGGCTTATCTTTGTGGTGGACAGCAACGACAGGGAGAGAGTGAACGAGGCGAGGGAGGAGTTGTCCAGAATGCTCGCTGAGGACGAACTCAGAGACGCCGTGCTGCTCGTTTTTGCAAATAAACAGGTGAGGTCCCGTTTCTGTCTCCTGGAGCATCTTTGAATGTAATTTGAACTGTACAACTGCTGCGGATGATGATTATTTGCTTTGGATTATAAATAGATGCCGAGGTAACTGCATTTGAAACCTGTCACATATGAGACATGTTTGTTTGTTCAGTATAAAGTGCTTTTCTTCAGACAGGAAGTCTTTTAAGATGAGATAGAAAAGGTAATAGAAAGGCAATGTGAGAAGACAGAGAAGTAGGTTTTAAGAAAAGGAAAAGAAGCTATTTATTTTTAACTTGTTTTAAAAGGAAGACCTGAGAGCATGAAACACATCTCGTCACACAGGAGAGTAAGATCAATTAGAGTAAGACTGATGAATCCAGAGACTTAACGGATAGACGAGATAAACGTACATAGTCCCAGATTTAGAACGGCATTTGTAAAAGGAAAATTTGATGTTAAATAACTTAAAATTTTCTTCTGTATCGTCTCCTCCAGGATCTCCCCAACGCTATGAATGCTGCAGAGATCACAGACAAGCTGGGCTTGCACGCCCTCCGCCAGCGCAGCTGGTACATCCAGGCCACCTGCGCCACCAGCGGGGACGGCCTGTACGAGGGCCTGGACTGGCTCTCCAACCAGCTGAAGAACCAGAAATGATCCATTCCACCAGTTTTGATTTTTCGTTTGTTGTTTATTTTTTCTGTTTCAACACAGCGGCAGCACCGGATCCAGGCCCCTGCGCTCCCATCTAACCCAGTTTTCTGCCCCAGCTCTTTCTTTCAAGAACTTCCTTCATTCCCTCCTCTTGCTTTCTCCCCTCGTCAGTACTCTTGGGGCTCTAGCCTGTGCTGCTTGTGTGTGCGTGGGCGTGCGTGTGCGAGCGTGTGTGTGTGTGCGCGTGTACCTTGTGTGTTCAGCGAGTGTGTGTGGGTGTGAAGGCGTCTCTGTGTATGTTGGCTGGGATTGGGAGTAACCCTGGCGTGCCTTTTACACACCTCCTGTGGAATCAGCAGTCTGGTTTTCAAGCCCCTTTCTCCATCCACCAAACTCAGCCTCTGCCCCACTCAGCCTACCCCCACTCTCAGTCTTGCACGGCCCCCTTCTCCCCACCCTTACTCTCCAGAGGAAGCATGGTTTTCATACGGCAAAGAAAGAGCAAGGGTGCAAGTTCTCCTCCCTCTCTCCCTGTAGTATATATCTATGTTAACTAGAAATGTTCACCCAATGTAGACTGAATGCTAGATGTTCATTTTATCCTCTTGATTTTGAAACCTCAAACCCACCAGTAAGAGATTCAGTAAATTGCATCTTAACCTGTATCAGGTCGAAGCAAATCAAAAAACGGAAAAAAAAAAAAGGTAAAAAAAAAATAAATAAAAATAAAAAACGCCCATCCTCGATCATTCTGGTGTCATTTGAAAATCATGCTGTTTGTTTTATTATTATTATTATATTGGAATATAACAGATTATTCTTAGCAATGGTTCTCCAGTGAACACTACCTTTGTCCCCACCACTAAGCGAGACCGTGAAGCACAAGGCAAACCAACAATCGTTAAAAGCGAAGAAATTAAAATTAGAATCTGCGAGTATATGCAATTCTTGTCTTTTCAAATCTTTTTTGGTAGCTGGCATTTAATTCCCTGGATTAAATTGGATTTTTGAGATGACTTTCAGTGTAATGAATCTTTCTGACAGTGTTCCTACTTTATGTGTGTGTTGGACATTTCGCAAACTTCAGCCGGTTAACTTGGTGTCCTGATACATTCACAGGCTTCACATGTTATTCCTTTAAGAGATGTTACATGTGTATTTGTTTTTTTTTTTTTTCTGTGACTAGTTTTAGCATTTCTATTTGTACTATGACTGCTGAACCAAATGCATTTGAGCAGTGTGACAAATCCTGTTTATGGAAGTAGTACGTGCATCCTCGAGGGCCTCAATTGATTTTGACGAGTTTTTTTTTTTCTCTTTTTTTTTTTTTTTTTCTCACCAACGGTTGGCAGTTATACTTTTGAAAATCTGAAAGCATCCAGCTGTCTAATTTTCCTAGTTGGGATGAAGGATTGGCACCAAAAAAAAAAAACAACAACAAAACAAAATGAAGGCTCTTTAACTGTGAACGGTCCAGACGCGAAGAATGGAAACTAGTTCGAATGTCTGGGTGTTTACAGGCTACTACTTCTCACTATAGCGCTGCGTACTTTGTGACTGAAAAAGACCAACACAACTCTTGTCGGTGGCTCGGCGGCGAGCTGGAAGGACTTGGTGGTAGACCTGTCGAGGGGAATGGGTGTGCAGTTACCTGGTCGTGAGATTCAGCAGGCGTCCTCAGTGTTGAACCATGGGGGTTAAGCTGGCACTTCTGTCAAGAATGATTGTAAATCTGTAAGTTCCCCTGTAAACTGTTTCTGTGGGGATTTCCTGAACACATTAATAAACATGATTTGATCCAACAGCTGGTGGAACGGCACGTTTTCTTCAATTTCAGGCATTTTTAGTCAAAATATCTTCAATTAGAAGGTGCATTTTTTTATAACATGAGTTGATTTGACGGGTGTCACACGACAGTCCTGCAGGAAGGTTATCGCCTCATGTTTCTGCTGAGAGGTTCAGTTTGGTGGTTTGCACTGTCGCCTCACAACGACAAGCTTCTGGGTTTGAACCTGCTGCTCGTTTAGGGCCTTCCTGGGTGGAGCTGTTCCTACTTTGCCTGCCTGGGTTTTCTCTGGGTGTCTGATTCTGTGTGTAGACCACTGACCTGACCAGGGTGAACCCGTCCCTCCACAATAAGAGCTTCTGAATGATGGATGGAAGGTTGACATGACATCTGCATTCAGTCTCTATAAACACGAGCCCTGAGAAGATGTTGAGAAGGCTTGAATATTGTATTTTATGTGCTGTTTTTTTTCTTTTCTTCTTTTTTTGTCCAGAACACATACAACTAATTCCCTATGATGCGTAATAAAACATTTTACATTTTGTTGCGAATAAAAAAACAGCACATATTTGTTTTAAAAATGAGTAAAACAATGATATTTAAGTAAATAAATTAAGTCTGTCCAGCACTTTGTCTGAATTCTAAATATCTTGATTATTGTGGATCATGTGTCAGCAGTTAGTGGAACATTTAAGTGTTTTTTTAAGGTAAGTACTCTTGAGTTTGTCAGTTTTTGTTTCACGCCACACATACAAGAATCCTACAATAATATACATATGCTTTTTGTTAAAACTCATTTACAGGATGTCTTCAGAAGCTCTGAATTTTTGTTTTTTTAAGCCCTTACGAATTATATATATTTTTTTTCAAAGTTCATTTCTAAAAGTTTTAAATATTTAATTTTTTCTGCTGCTTTTTGCCTTTTGTCAATCCACCAGTGGAAAAATATGAAGCTAATTAACTTAATATTGTCAGTGACACAAACTTTAACACTTGTTTTGTCATTTTTAAGTCAAAAACAGCAAATATTTGGAATATTTTCTTGTTTTGCTGGATTTTTTTTTTGCTATGCTTGTAAAGGCCCGGTCTGTCCTCACTCCATAGGCACCCAGCAGGGGTGAATTGATGCCTTATGATTGTCTGTGAAATAGTGTAGATGTATTTTTGTCACTGGGGTCACAGGTATTGTTTATTGAGTCAAATGTATGTTGGGGGCGTGGCTTTGCATGAACCTCTATTTAGGTGAGTGCAGTGCACGCGCGCGGTGGCACGTAGTGGGATGACGACACACGCCAACTTGGAGGTTTCCCGGAGTTGCCTGGCCGCGGAGTATGGATTTTTGCTTGTTGGAACTTTTTTGAATAACTAGAGGTGTTGGAACGGGAGGACGGACCGGAGCTGTCATTCAAAGGAGGGCTGATGCGCAGAGCCGTGAGTTGAAAAAAGTAAAGTGTGTAAAGTAAAAGGCTGTGCTCTGAGCCAAAACAAATAGTATGAGGTTGTCTGATTTTCANAACAACAAAACAAAATGAAGGCTCTTTAACTGTGAACGGTCCAGACGCGAAGAATGGAAACTAGTTCGAATGTCTGGGTGTTTACAGGCTACTACTTCTCACTATAGCGCTGCGTACTTTGTGACTGAAAAAGACCAACACAACTCTTGTCGGTGGCTCGGCGGCGAGCTGGAAGGACTTGGTGGTAGACCTGTCGAGGGGAATGGGTGTGCAGTTACCTGGTCGTGAGATTCAGCAGGCGTCCTCAGTGTTGAACCATGGGGGTTAAGCTGGCACTTCTGTCAAGAATGATTGTAAATCTGTAAGTTCCCCTGTAAACTGTTTCTGTGGGGATTTCCTGAACACATTAATAAACATGATTTGATCCAACAGCTGGTGGAACGGCACGTTTTCTTCAATTTCAGGCATTTTTAGTCAAAATATCTTCAATTAGAAGGTGCATTTTTTTATAACATGAGTTGATTTGACGGGTGTCACACGACAGTCCTGCAGGAAGGTTATCGCCTCATGTTTCTGCTGAGAGGTTCAGTTTGGTGGTTTGCACTGTCGCCTCACAACGACAAGCTTCTGGGTTTGAACCTGCTGCTCGTTTAGGGCCTTCCTGGGTGGAGCTGTTCCTACTTTGCCTGCCTGGGTTTTCTCTGGGTGTCTAATTCTGTGTGTAGACCGCCGACCTGACCAGGGTGAACCCGTCCCTCCACAATAAGAGCTTCTGAATGATGGATGGAAGGTTGACATGACATCTGCATTCAGTCTCTACAAACACGAGCCCTGAGAAGATGTTGAGAAGGCTTGAATATTGTATTTTATGTGCTGTTTTTTTTCTTTTCTTCTTTTTTTGTCCAGAACACATACAACTAATTCCCTATGATGCGTAATAAAACATTTTACATTTTGTTGCGAATAAAAAAACAGCACATATTTGTTTTAAAAATGAGTAAAACAATGATATTTAAGTAAATAAATTAAGTCTGTCCAGCACTTTGTCTGAATTCTAAATATCTTGATTATTGTGGATCATGTGTCAGCAGTTAGTGGAACATTTAAGTGTTTTTTTAAGGTAAGTACTCTTGAGTTTGTCAGTTTTTGTTTCACGCCACACATACAAGAATCCTACAATAATATACATATGCTTTTTGTTAAAACTCATTTACAGGATGTCTTCAGAAGCTCTGAATTTTTGTTTTTTTAAGCCCTTACGAATTATATATATTTTTTTTCAAAGTTCATTTCTAAAAGTTTTAAATATTTAATTTTTTCTGCTGCTTTTTGCCTTTTGTCAATCCACCAGTGGAAAAATATGAAGCTAATTAACTTAATATTGTCAGTGACACAAACTTTAACACTTGTTTTGTCATTTTTAAGTCAAAAACAGCAAATATTTGGAATATTTTCTTGTTTTGCTGGATTTTTTTTTTGCTATGCTTGTAAAGGCCCGGTCTGTCCTCACTCCATAGGCACCCAGCAGGGGTGAATTGATGCCTTATGATTGTCTGTGAAATAGTGTAGATGTATTTTTGTCACTGGGGTCACAGGTATTGTTTATTGAGTCAAATGTATGTTGGGGGCGTGGCTTTGCATGAACCTCTATTTAGGTGAGTGCAGTGCACGCGCGCGGTGGCACGTAGTGGGATGACGACACACGCCAACTTGGAGGTTTCCCGGAGTTACCTGGCCGCGGAGTATGGATTTTACTTGTTCGAACTTTTTGGAATAACTAAAGGTGTTGGAACGGGAGGACGGACCGCTTCCCGGAGCTGTCATTCAAAGGAGGGCTGATGCGCAGAGCCGTGAGTTGAAAAAAGTAAAGTGTGTAAAGTAAAAGGCTGTGCTCTGAGCCAAAACAAATAGTATGAGGTTGTCTGATTTTCACCCCTGCTGAGGCATAGATCCGCCCGTCTCCTTTATATAGAGCGTTGTCACCTCGGAATTAATAGGTGAACTGTTACATCATTTCTAAAAGTTTTAAATAATTTTTCCTGCTTCTTTTTGCCTTTTGTCAATCCACCAGTGGAAAAATATGAAGCTAACTAACTTAATATTGTCAGTGACACAAACTTTAGCACTTGTTTTGTCATTTTTAAGTCAAAAACAGCAAATATTTGGAATATTTGCTTATTTTGCTGGATTTTTTTGCGATATTTGCCACAATATTTGGAATAGTTGCTTGACAAATGACTAAAACAGTTATCTGTAACTATATAAAATAGAGCATGAGCACTTTGAATTAAAAATAATCATATTCTTGATTATTGTGGCTCATTTAACAAGAGATTTAAGTGTGAGTCTGTGCAGATGTTGTGTACAAGTGTTTCTAGGCCAGGGGTGTCCAATCCTGGTCCTCTAGAGCCCCTATCCTGCATGGTTTAGATGTTTCCATCTTCCAACACACCTGATTCACATGATCAGGATCGTTATCAGGCTTCAGCTTGATGATGATCTGATCATTTGAATCAGGTGTGTTGGAAGAGGGAAACATCTAAACCATGCAGGATAGGGGCTCTAGAGGACCAGGATTGGACACCCCTGTTCTGGGCTGTTGGTGGTTTGCTTTGCTGGTTGCTGTGATCTGCAGGTACTTCCTGAAGTTGTTTCCATTATTCCCATTTTTGCTCTGCAGAGATCCATCGTTTGACATCACAGGTTCCAATTTAAAAGCTGCATTGTTTGTTAAACGGTGCCAAACACTGATTTTCTGCCAAAAATTAACTGCAGTCCACAAAAGTAATAATTTTTATGTCTCTGTGTAGTTTTTACCTCCTCTGTCTTCTATATGAACCAATTCAGTCCTATTTTTTCACCAGTTGAAACACTATAAAAAGTTCATCTCTTTAAAAGCCACTTACCAAGAAGTGACTTCAGCCCCTCTGTCATGACTGAAATGTTCACAACGCATCAAAATACTGTCCATCAGGACTTGCATATTCCCCAAGATCACTTGAAATGTGTTTATAAATTCCGTTCGCAATCACAAAATCATTCCAAAAATTGTTCAAAGATTGACCGAAATGACACAAATGATGCTAGTCCTAAATGTTTCCAAGTTTGTCCGTAAACTAGTCCAAATATTTTAAAAGCATGTCCTTAAATGACCCTAAATGCCTCAAAAATGATTCAAGATTTGTCCAAAATGACCTGAAATATGTTTACAATTACAGAA